ATATATATACACAAAATGAAAGAGCATAGAATTTTTGTGCCCTATTTGGGTCACCATATGGGAAAGATGGTGTCTTCTACAGAGTAAGAGGGGCAGGACCTCGAGATAGAAGGTCTTTCTTAGAGAGAAGAGAGCTTCACTTCTATGGTGCCTCCTGTAGATTGAGACTCTTGGTTTCTAGTAGAGTAGCAGTTCTTATAAAGATTTTGGATGGTTTCCCATTTTAATTAAAGTGAAAGCCAGTTTCTCATTGCTTACGCGTTTCTATCTGGTGTTGTCGGTAATTATTGTCAGAAGTAATGAGAATGAAAAACAACATGTAGTGTCGGTCGAGAGAATGGTTTAAAAAGAATTGTTCAACTCGGTTTGTCCATGGTCAGAGGGTCGGGAGAATGGTATAGTGGATTTCAGTTTGCCGTGCTTTTGTATGTAGCGCTTTTGAGGTAAAAAACATAAATCTTTGTATTCTTGTGGTATGTTTTTTATGTTTTATTTCTTATACTTTATTTGTCAAAAACCAACCTATCGGATTTAGATCTTCTGTGCAGTGGTTAAAATAAATCAAACCCATAAAGTAATCAGTTTCAGGTTGAAGATTGCAGTCCCTGAAGCATAGCATGAAATAAATTCGATTTAGTCATGGTTCTGATACTAAAAGATACTCTTATTGCTATAATTATATGTTTTTGTAAAAAGATCAAGAATTTTGGACATGTCTATAGATTCCAAATAAATCACGTTCCTTACGTCGCTTCTTGTTTGCGGCAGACTATGTCTACACATAGTAAACTCGCGGAAAAGTTTATTTTACCATGCTAGAGGTTGCCAATGAAGCTGACATTTTGTGAGTATAGATCAAGATATTGGGATCAGTCTCAGTTATTTCGTCTCAGTCCTGGAAGTTTAGCCAGTCGGGAAGCTAGGCAGAACTTTCATTATATAATAGGGCTAGGCATAGATAGGTCGGGTCTTTGTTACAAAAAAAAATACGAAATGCTCCGCTTATATGTAAAAATTACAAAGAAGATCGGTCAACTCATTTTTTAATTTTTTTCAAAATTGTACATCGATCAACCCAAATTTTGATTTTTTTTTTTTTTCGTTAGTAAGGGTGCCCCAAGATTTAAGGCACTGCCATAGTAACAAAAAAACTAAAAAATAAAAAATAAATCAAAATTTGGGTTGAACGAGCGGTAATTAAAAAAAAAAAAAATGGTTTGACCAACCTTTATTATAATTTCTGCATATAAGTAGAGTATTTCATATTTTACCTAAAGTTTTAAGGTCCGTACGTAAATCACTTTAGTATAAATGCCTCTAGATGGGTTAATCAAATTTTTCTTCATACTAAGCAAGATTTAAGTAGCAAAAACAACTGAGAAAATAGGTACCATGTTGGGAATTATTTTGGAAATCAAATGATTTTATTTTAAGCTGAAATTTTTTG